CTTCTTCTTCTTCTTCTTCTTCTTCTTCTTCTTCTTCTTCTTCTTCTCCTCCTCCTCCTCCTCCTCCTCCTCCTCCTCCTCCTCCTCCTCCTTCTCCTTCTCCTTCTCCTTCCTTCTTTCTTCTCCTTCTTCCTCCTCTTCTTCCTCCTCCTCCTCCTCTTCCTCTTCCTCCTCCCCTCCTCCTACTTCCTCCTCCTTCTCCTCCCCTCCTTCTTCTTCTCCTCCTCTTCTTCCTCCTTCTCCTCCTCTTCCTCCCCTCCTCCTTCTTCCTCCTCCCCTCCTCCTTCCTAGATAGGTGAATGAAAAATGATAGATGATAGATAAATAAATGATAGAAGATAGATGGATGATAGATGGATGAGAAATGATAGAGAGATGATAGATAAATAGATAATAGATGGATAGATAGATGAAAAATGATAAATAGATGATAGATAATTGGATGAGAAATGATAGATGATAGATAAATAGATGATAGAAGATAGATGGATGATAGATGATTGATTGATAGATGATAGATAAACAATAAATGGATGATAGATGATAGATAAATAGATGATGGATGAGAAATGATAGAGAGATGATAGATAAATAGATGAGAGATGGATGGATGAGAGATAGATGATTGATTGATTGATAGATGATAGATAAAGGATAGATGGATGAGAGATGATAGATAAATAGATGATGGATGAGAAATGATAGAGAGATGATAGATAAATAGATGATAGATGGATGGATGAGAGATAGATGATTGATTGATTGATAGATAGATAATAAATAGATAGATAGATGGTAGAGAGATATAATAGACAGCCCTCCCCAAGTGGTGTACAGAGCCAACCTCTTGCCCTCCAACCATCTGGGTCCTCAGTGATGGTCCCAAAGTCCTGAGAACGGTTCCAAAGGCAGCAGAGCAAACCCACCGAGCAAACAGCCTCCATCCTTTGGCTGACCACTGCTTCCTTTCCGCTCCGCCAACTGTTCTAGGTTTGACTTCTCAATTGCTTTTCCTGCCCTCCCTGCATGAGGGGGTGGGTGGCCGGGTGGGGGGAAGCCCCTCTTCATCCGATCCTTCGCTCATCCCTGTAAAGACAGGACCCTCACAAGTTTACGTCGCCCGAACCCTTCAAAGGCATCATGGTTAGAAATGGAATCTGGGCGTGGAAGTGGCACAGTGATTACATTTTACTCTGGGGAGGGAAGCCTAGGTGAATAAGATCAAGAAGATGTAGAGTAACAGAGTTGGATGACGCTCGTGGATCATCTAGTCCAACCCCCCCTTCCAAGCAGGAGACCCTGCACCATTTCTGACAGAGGGCAGTCCAGTCTCTTCTTGAAAGCTTCCAGTGATGAAGCTCCCACAATTTCCGAAGGCAACGTCTGTTCCATCGGTTGATGGTTCTCACTGTCAGAAATTCTCTCCTTATTTCCAGGTTGAATCTCTCCTTGTTCAGTTTCCATCCATTGTTCTTTGTCTGGCCTTCAGGTGCTTTGGAAAATAGTTTGACCCCTTCCTCCTCTCTGGGGCAAATATTGGAAGATGCTCTCCTGTCTCCCCTGGACCTTCTCTTCCCTAGACTAGCCATGCCCAGTTCCTTCAACCGTTCTTCGCATGTTTTAGCCTCCAGTCCCCTCATCATCCTGGTTGCTCTTCTCTGCACTCAACATCTTTTTATAGTGTGGTGACCAAAACTGGATGCAGTACTCTAGGTGTGGCGTTACTAAGGCTTTATAGAGTGGCATTAGTACCTCCCTTGATCTTGATTGGATCCCTGTTAATGCAACTTGGGATTGCATTGGCCTTTTTGGGCTGCCACTCCACACTGTAGGAATATCAGAGTTGGAAGGGAGGTCTTCTAGTCCAACCCTTCTACCTTGTCTCCCCTGGTCCTTCTCTTCACTAGACTAACCAGACCAATCCCAGCAACCGTTCATCATATGTTTTATCCTCCAGTCCCCTCATCCTCCTGGTTGCTCTTTTCTGCACTCTTTCTAGAGTCTCAACCTCTTTTTTTTTTTTTAAATAAACGTGGTGACCAAAACTGCATGCAGTACTCTAGGTGTGGCCTTAGTAAACATAATTGTTAATGGACACTTACCCTAATCACTCTCCTTCTATCCCGTGCTGCGGTAAGAGGACCAGTATTATTACGGCTGTGTCTGACGGACAGCGTGTGTGTGTGTGTGTGTGTGTGTGTGTTGGCGGTAGGATTTCGAGATAATTTGAAGATGGAGTGGGCTGAATTATATGAGTCCCGGGGCTAAACGTTTGTTATTTTAACGGCATTAAGTCTTAACACCTACTTTACGCAGAGGGTTGATGCAGTGTCCTTAAGAGACACCGGAGTGGTCCAGCTGAGTGACTTTTAAGAGCCAAGCCCTGTGGAAAAGACAAAGAACGGACACGCTGGGGAAGGTTGCGGGGCGAGGGAAAACCCCACATGAAGGATTAACCAGCCTGTCTTCTTTTTAAAAAGATCCTTTTAACCAATTAATTTCCACCGCACCTCCAGCCCGCTTCTCATCTCCCCAGGAAGAAATGAGCCGATATTATCGTCCCTTCCTGAAAAGAAAATTGTTTTCGGCCCCCGTTGTCGGTTAAATTGACGCTGAAACAAGAAAGGGGGAGGTTGCCCCACACTTCTCTCTGCAGGGGGAGTGGGGTGTGTGTGTGTGTGTGTGTGTGTGTGTGTGCTACTTTTCCTAAACAGAGAAATGAAAGATTTCCTGAATTAAGGAACAGGGTGGGGGGTAGAAAAGCCAACCTTGGGCCTTGTAATAGGTTCCCAGTGAGGTCTTTTTTAATCGTTCTTTTATTTTTATTTTTTTTTAAGGGAACCTCCGACATTTGCTGATGTGGATCAAGGAGAACCTGCTGAAAGAGAGGCCTGAATTGTTTGTGCAAGGAGAGTCAGTGTGAGTATCAACACACACACACGCACGCACGCACGCACGCACACTAACTAGAGATTCACACGGCATCCGAGAGGAAATCCTCTCGCCAGGCCCAACTTGCGAAGGAAGCGCGGCTAAATCCAAGCCATTCACTCCCCTTTCAGAACTAAACTCCCGTCTCCAGTGTCTGTCTGTATCGATTCTGTGGCTTCCTTACGGTGTATACGCTCTTCCTCAATGGCTGTTCCCAGCCAAGCGCCCTCCGGTCTTGGGGGGCTGAACCCTTCTTCTGCGTTCAGTCCTGAGCGGAGAAGGGAAACCATTGTCTCTCCCTGAGCTGGGCCTGCCTTCCTAATCCTCCACGCCACACCGCCCCTGTCCGTGGGAAAGCGTGGTTCTCCCGTAGCCGATGGTGGTGTCTTCATGCATGGGGCCACCGCTATCCGCCATTAGCCTCCTGGAAGAACCGAGGGGTCGCTTCAGGCAGCCTTTGCGGGAATCCTCCTTCCCACCCCTTCCTCAATTTCCTCTCTGACATGAGACCAGGACGGACCTGGTTAGCATTCGTGTCCCTCAGTTCCCCCCACATTCGGTGTGTGGGAGGGCAGCTCCTTCTCTCTGGGACAAACAATGGCTAGGAAACTGAAGATACGAGAGGGGATTCCTGTCGATCATCCACGTTGGCAGGCGTTCTGTGGGATCTTAGCTGCTACTTAGCCTTTTTTTCAACCGCATCGGCTTCCTCCCACCGCCCCACCCCCCGCTCAGACCGCAGGGCAGGTTTAAATGACAGGTGAACAGGATTGTACCACGCCACGCGATGACGTGCTGCCTCAGAGCGTTTTTTTTTTAGGAAGGGTATCTCTCTATCAGCCGCAGCCTATCCTTGATGCTAATTGGGGTTGCTTGGCCTCAAGGCCGTCTGCCGCTCTGCCTTCGGGCACTAGCCTTCAAGGATCTTCCTCCCCCCCCTCAAAAAAACCGAGACCACCCCAAAAACCTTTAAGGTGGGAGAATCCAAAAACCCGCAGGGGAAAAAAAAAACAAAACCAAATACTTTAGTCCTTTTAACGGAGGCGAACTTGAATTGTTGCAAACGGGTTTGCAAGCGGCCGGCACAGCCCATTAAGAAGCTTTAAGTAGGCCGGACTAAACTCGGCAGCTCACCCGTTGAGATGGACCTCCTTGATGGATATGTCGCTGGTTCGAAGAGGGCAGAGTAAACGCTGTGAAAATTGTAGGGGTTTTCTCCCCTGAAGATGATTCCAAGCAGGAAGGGTCATAGTTCCGGCATACGGCAACCTTTTCGAGGCCTGGCAGAATGACTAAAAACCCGTATTTAATTTGTGTTACGGAAAACAAATCTTGGGAGAAATTTTTTGAAAGCGGAACTAAATCGGCGATGGAAGCCGTGGAGGAAGGAAACAGTTAGAGTGTCCTTCCCACAAATCCTGCCACTGCCGTGCGTGTTCCTAGACCCAAAACCTGTTCTCTTTAACAGCTTCTCTCTTTTCCCTCTAGGCGCCCGGGAATCCTAGTGCTTATTAATGATGCAGATTGGGAACTGATGGTATGTCCCATTTTGGTAATGTGGAGGGCGTCTTATTTTCTGCAGAAAGGGAGGGCAAAGGGGTTTTGTGGTGTCAGGTTTTTGGAGGGCCTCTTCCTTTTCCTTGCTGGATCAGGAACACAAGTTGAGTAGTAGTTCAGAAAGATTTATTGTTTAAGGCGATACACAAGAACTCGGTCAACGGTCAACTATCGGTCAGCACTAAATAAGGGTCAATAGAAAGAGTTACCCTGGGTAAAACGGGCGGCCAATAAATTTTGCAAATAAGTACATAAATAAGCGGAATTCAGTGGCGGCTAGACTTGGGTCTCTTGTGGCGGCGCAAGGATGCCAAACTGATGGCGTATTTCACTCCGCCTTCCAGCTTTGTCTGCTCGTCTCCTTCATTGACCCTCCTTTGCTTTCTTCCTTCCTTCCTTCAGGGCAACCTGGAATATCAACTGCAAGATCAGGACCACGTGGTTTTCATCTCTACCTTACACGGGGGTTAGGCCGCTAGGGGTGTGTGTGTGTGTGTGTCCCAAAACAGCAAGGACAAAACTAAACAACCTGGGTTGAGCCAACTTCTTAAGAAAGCCCCCAAATTTTGAAGCGTCCTGCAGGGTTGAATCCCAGCTGTGGATGGGAAGAATGTAACTCTGGAGCATTTTCTCTTGGGCTGTGGGTCAGGCGAGCCCTCCAAGCCGTTGTTGATTCTTGAGAAACGACGAGGAAACCAGAGGGCAGCAGTTACGCCTTGTTGTGGTTGTGTGTTATCAGGAGTCCCCATCTTTTTCTTCCTTAGCGGCCAGAAGAGACAATCCTAGGACTGAGATGAGACGTGGGCAGGAGCCTTCTCTGCCTTCCAGGCCTTAGGATCACACAGTCTGCCTTTGCTTGCCTCTTGTTTGATCTGCAGACCTCCAACCAGCATTTCTGTAGCTGAACTGAAAAGCAGCCGCGCGGCCCACCTACAAATGCTTGCTTTGAATTTAGGGCGTGAGTCACGCGTGTGCCAAGGATGTGCAAAAATCTGGACTGGTCTGGGGGGCGGGGGTGGGGGGTGTCTCCTGCTTGTGCAAGGGATTGGACTCCAAGACCTCCAACTCTTGTTATTCTGATTGTTCTGCTTGCCTTTTTTGTACCTGTGTTTTAAATAAATACTGCGCAGAGCTCCCTTTGCTAATATTTCACCTGCTAACCATGGTTTGTGCATCCTTTCATCCGGGACGCCAAAGGCCCTCTGTTGCCAACTGCTGTAGCAATGAATAAAATGGCTGCCCTCTGCTCCTGTGTTACCTGCAAATAATTCTTATTTTTAGTGCTTTCCTCAAGTGAAGCTAAGTTTGCCTAGAAGCAAAATGGCGGACTTGCGTGTCTCGTCCATTTGAGGAAGAGCCTAAGCCATCAAATTCCCCAAATAGAAAAGTTTAAGCATTCTAGAAATGAGACCTAGCACATCTGAAAGGCATCAGGTTGGAGAAAGGCAATCTGATGTTCAGGACATTTGTTTATATGTCTGAAAACTTCGTTCCATCCAACCTAGCTTCATCCCTGGTTGAGCAGGGTTTCTTAAAATGCTGCTTACAGAGCTGAATATTCTTGTAGAAGGCAACGGTTTCACGGAAGGAGTTAATTTTTCCCCAATTGTTTCCTTTTTCTGGATCATTTGTGGTAGGTCTCTTACTGTACCCTATTCCCCACAGGTGAAGGCAGAAACATAATTTCAATAAACTCCAAAGAGACAGCCAACGAGACGTCAAATCTCTCGTCTCTCAAAAGCTAAGCGCGTTTGCAAACGTGAGAGGTGAAATTACAATTTCTCTATCTGCGTGCATAGTTAAGTTCTGATTTTATTAGATTTTTTTTTTTTTTAAATCAGATACACCCACCATAGAGGCAGCCAGGAAATCAACTGACCGAAGGGAGAAAGGAGAAATAAAACACAAATATCTCCGAGACCACGAGCTTGTTTTCTGCAAAGGAACTCTTTCTCGAAACTGCAGATTACATTCTTAGATACGGTGGTGCAGATCTTGAAGTGATGCATTTCCGTTCAAGGTTTGGTGGGGCAGAGATGTGATCCTGGGTTGAGCAAGAAATTCAAAATGCCAGAAAAATTGTTGAGAGGTTTCCTGTTATCTGGCCAACCTCAAGAATCTATTGCTTAAAGAGAAATGCAGAGGGATTTGAACCCAACCCTTCAGAAGCTAGCTATCAATTGGTGATTTTTGTACATGCTCAGAAATGGCCTCTTGTGCGGCAGGATCCAAATCACAAGACATTTGGAAGAGAACTGGCCACATTTCAGTTTTTCCCACACCGTCGTCCAAAAAAAACCTAAATCCCGAAGGCAAAATTGACTTTGTGTTTAGTGGGTCTGCAAAAAACAAACAAACAAACCCCAGCAAATATCCCTGTTCAAATTCTGGATGTGTAAATTATACATGATTTTCAGTATAAATGCTGAAGGAAACTCCCAGGATGATTAAGGGGCTGTCATTCAATTTCTTTTTAAAAAAAAAAAATCATATGAAATCAGCAGATTTAATATATCCGGTTTAATCAGCCTAGTAAAATCCGCAGAGCTGAACATGTTTATCTAGCAAAGCTGTAAACGTTTAGGGGAATGATTAAAATGTGGGAAAGTTAGACAATCCTGCAGAGATGAGGATCTTGCAAACAGAAGTCTTGGGATCCATCTGGAAGAGTTGCCAACATGTTTTATGAACTAATCTAATTCAGGAAAAGTTGTGCCGTTTAATAAAATACGTTAAATCTGGAAAGGTATAGCCAGATTTCTTTCTGAGGCTTAAAGAATATGAGAACCTTTTGGAGGTTAAATTTATGCCCCCTTTTTAAGAGAATTGCTTGGCATGGGAAATCCCAAAGTTGCTTTTTGAAGAAGCAACTTGACTTTCTTGTTATTTTTTGAGCTGAAGAAGCTTCTTGGAGGAGAAGCGAAACGTCTTCCAAAGAATAACCGGAAAGTCCAGTTGCCTCTTGAAAAAGCACCTTTGGGACAACCATGGCCTGGAGGACTGAGAATCTCCAGAGTAAGGAGAAAAAAATTGGAAGTTTAAAATACTTTGGACCTGGAGAAAAAAAGTTAGCAGAGCTGTTTAAAAGATTCTGAATTCCAGGGAATAAGAGCAAAGGAACAAATCGCTGGACAAAATATTCTCTTCTGAAATAATTTCCTTTTCTAGCAAATCTTAACTAACAATGGCAAAAAATATATATCTGTTTTAAAATCTCATTTCTTCTGGACTGATTCCACCTCTTGTCAACCATGGTTGATTTTTCTCTCTTCTGTCTGTCTGTCTTCAAACAAGCTGATTTTTGCTCTTTTAATATTAAACACACAAAGCAGCAATTGGAATGAATCACCAGCAATTTTAAAGCAAGTTGCTCTCTGGTTTAGAGCAGTGGAACTCATCAACTCCGGCTTGTGAAGGCAGTTAAAAATGAACTGATATTTTTGGATCTACAACTAAGACAAAAAACAACAACCACCCCAAGAAATTGTGATGGGCAGGAAAGCAGAATTAAAAACTAAAAACGAGGAAACCTTTTTAAAAAACATAAGAACCCACTCCAAATATTGTTTGTTTTCAACAATCACAACTTTCTCATTTGGGAAAGCCGCAAGAACAATTAAACAACGGTTTGATACAAAATACCTTTAATAAAATAAATTTTCAATAAGATTACTTGGGAAACATTGCCTGGGAAATAGGAAGACAAAAAAGTTTGCAGGAAGTTGACCTGGGAAAAGAGGCGGGACACTGAATAGCCACGCCCTTCTTTCCCAACAGCGGAAGGAGGCAATAGCTGGAGTCGTTTGAGTTTCAAAATAGGTTCATTTTATTTTTTTGAGTTTCAAAATAGGTTCATTTTATTTTTTTTATGTATCTGGAGAAAATATTGCCCTTTTTGCAAAATCACTATGTAGCTTTTGTGTTCAAATAGGGCTGGGAAAAACCAGCTTTATCTAATTCATTGCAATATTGTTGCCAGTGGCGCCCAAATAAACTTTATTCAATTGTTAAGTTGTTATAGATGCAAGCTAAAAACTGGATTCTTGATTCTTGACTTTCATTTCTTAACACAGCAACCAACAAAATTCCTCCCAATCTTAGCATGGGGCCTGAACCAGGCTTGTGTATTAAGTCATAATTGAGCAGATGATAGTAAGATGGCCAGACTTTTAACAGAAGGAAATTGCACTAAAAATGTTATGAATCCTTGATGAATGGAGATGTAGATCTACATAAAGACTCTGTGTGACTCATGATTCCAGTTTCCAGATTCTAGTTCCTGGAAGCCATGCTCTTCAAAATTAAAAATTCTTTTTAAAATTAAAAATAGCAAAACTTGCTCATTCCTGACACTGCTGATTAGCCAGTGATGTGTTTCGAAGCAAAATCGGTGTAAATGGTATGTGGTTTTTCCAATTGCATGCTTCCCAGTTACAGCAGCTAGTTTTGTCCTTCAAGTTAAAAAAAAAAATGCTTCAAACAGTTCCAGAAATCCCAAGGCCATTCAAACCAGGTCTCTTTAAAAAAAAAATTCTGGTCAATTTTGAATTTAGCTGGCTAATATTACTAAAAACAACAACAACAACATACACACACAGGGTGAATTAGTTTTTTATCCATTGCAATGTTTAAGTTGCTTCTTACCTCTGGATCTTCACTATTTATGTACAGTAGTTAGAAAATCTCTTGTTAAATCAATTTACTTCCACGTTTCTTGCCATTTTTCCACCTCAAATCTTTTTTTCCCCCAAAGGTGTGTTCAATTCATCCTTCCTTCACTTCTCTCTGATCATGTCTTACAGTCAGAGGTTCTCAATCTGTGGTCCGTGGACTCTTCGGGGGGGACGACATGATGTCGTCCCATGGGGTCCGTGAAGTCTTGAAGAAACATCATGATTTAAATCTTGAGTTAAAGTCTTGGGGGTCCGTGTGGCCATATTCCCTGGCCACGAAAGGTATTTAAAGGGGAACCGTGGTGAAGAAAAGATTGGGAAGCACACTGTCTTAGAGTTACTCTGCTAAGACACATTTGTATTTAAAAGTATTTTTTCCCCGTTACACGATTTATTAATTTCTGAGCCCTTTGAAATTGCTTCTTAGTGACACAAATGGAGGGAAATACTCCTTTTGTTACAAAAGGGTATGGTTTGAAGGAGAATTTTATCTTGAGATAACAATTTACTGAATAGCTGCACTAAAACACACACACACTCCAAAGTAAGAGAAAAAACAGACATCTTGCGAACTCCAGAACTAAAATTATTATATTTATTACATTAGATGCTTGTTTCTTCTCTTACAAGTACTTGTATCTGGAATTTGTATTTTTAGAATAGTTACACACACTCACTCACACACACACACACACACACAGTATCCCCAAATTTCACTAAATCCTGCTCCTCAAACCGAACTATACCATTTAGAGTTTTGTCTGCAACCCTGAGCTAGCTAGATTGGCTATAGCATTTAAATTGCAAATAAAGAGAACTCAGATAAACAGACTCCAATGAAATCTCCCTGCCTGTAGAAAGGTAGCATAGCCAGGACCAATATGTTGTCTGACTTAATGCCAGTTCAACATACAATAACCCCTTGTGAAGTCAGGTTAGTGTTTATTTAACAGTCAAAGACCAGAGTAAAGGGGGGAAAAAAACACTCAAGGAATATCCAGTTTAAAATTATAAAATAATATAATATATAAAGCACATAAAATCTACATTAAAAATCATAACTTGGCACCCAATCGGTCAGTCGCACATCAACAAAACAAAACACTAAGCTATAATATCGTATCAATCCTTAAACTGGGAAAGCCTAGAGTCATTAGATATTAAAACGCGACCAAGTGGGAACACCAAAAGATTTGTTGCATTAATTGTGTAAAATAACTATGATGGATTATGCATCAGCATTGGGTTTCAACTCCTTGCCAATTTTAAATGTGTTTGGAAAGAGAGTCAAAACATAGCAAAGGAATTCATGAGCAATTGCCAAAAATGAAAACCTCGCATTTTCATTAAAATATATATATATATATATACGTAAAATAACTTCATAAAACAGGCCAGCCACCTATCTGCATTTAAAAGTCTGGTCTGAGCAAGCAGAATACAATCCCGATGACACGGA